CCCCTTCAGAGCCTCGGTCACCCCAAATCCACACATATGAATGTGTTGATCCCGCATCAGAGCTGCAGTCACCTCCAACCCATACCAGCAGCATCCCAGGAGACTGGACATCTCCATTTACCTAAACTCCAGTCCCTAAAATCACATCTGCCAGGGGGGAGAGCAGCTGGGAGCAGGGGGTGAAGGATGGAATGGTGCCGGGGATGGATCAAGCAGAGGCACCTGTTTCGGGGTGCTGCAGTATTAGGGACTGGTGCAGCCCCAAAACGGAGGCAGCGGAGGAACAGGAAGCAGAATGAGTAATTCCCGCTCTGAGCACACGAGACTCGACACGTCTGTGCATATTTCCTCCGTCTGCACATCCCCGACTCATGCCGTCTCCGAAAATCCTGACAGCCTCGCTCACTAAACACACACACTGCGCTCTGGGAGAACCAGCAATGCACTGTGTGTCCGCAGGGAAATGCCAACGGTTCGGCTGCCAAATCTCCTGCTCTGACATCGCGTGGCCATCACGCCGTGGTGGCCACGTAGGCAGGACTTTCCAGAATGGCTCGCACATGCCAGGTCCCTGCCCAGGTGCCCAACGGTAAATCAGGGGTCTCCTGCTTTCCCAAGGGTCCTCTCCTGTATCAGCCTTTTGATCTTTTGTCATCTGCTCTCAGCCCGCTGCCGGGAACGGCACTGCCGGCCTCCCCAACGTCACGAAATAGCGACCTAGGCAACGTCATTTCTTTCCGCGGACTTGCAAGACTCTAACTTTATTCAGTTAATTTTGGTTCAGCAATTAGTAACATAGTAATTGCCACAGCGAAGGAGTCAGGCTCTCTAATCTGCTCGCCTGTCTCCAGCAGTGGTCAATGCTGTGTGCCTCAGACAAAGCTGTAAAACTCCCGTAATTGGCCAGCACCTTCCTAGGCCAACCCCACCATTAAAAAAGGAGGAATTTTGCATCTGAAAGGTCTATAGAAACAGACCCCAAAGGAATAGATTTCTTCCTAACCCAGCTGGTGATCAGCTAATGCTTTCAGGCATGAGGATTGACAGCTCTTGCAATTCTGGCTTAGCTGGCATAACCACTGATGCTAATCACATCCTTCCCTCTCTCAGGTGTTCCTAATGCACCGCCACTGCCTCATTACCTACACCGAGAAGGTCGGATTCCTCCAGCACCTTATTCAGGCGGCAATTTCCACAGTACTGCGCCAGTGAGTTCCATAGGTTAACTGTGTTTTTTTTCCCAAAAAGCGTTTTTTCATCCCAGATTTGTTGCCTTGCAATTTTGAGGACCTTTCTCTTTTAAAATACAGAAAAAGGCGCTTGTTGAGCACCAGGACTTACAGTGCCCTTTCCCTTGTGATTCTCCCAAAATTGGGCATCTTTTCAGATGCCGGGGAAGCCTTCGGTGCTGGTTTCCCTGCAGCGTGGTTTGGGTCCATAACTCCCCGTCCTGCAGAGGAAGGGTCTCTGCCCATGCTCCCGCACACCCCTGGGGTCACCAGGTCCCGAGGGAACATTGTGCCATGGCAGCAGCAGCGCCAGACTTACTTGCATAGGCAGGTTGTTGGCCATGGTGAAGCTAGGCATGGGCGGCAGCGCGCTGTACGTGTTTGTGAGCGCTGTGTCCGTTCTGCCCAACATGGAACCTGATGTGAAAGAGGAAACTATAATAGAATAGACAGATAGATGAACACATTAGTTTAACCACAATTAACAGTCGGCGATACAGTCTCAGAGTCTCGCTTTCCCAAAAAGGATGGATGAACATGAGCGGGTTGGTGGCATTACCGGGGGTGGTCGGTTGCGGGATCGGCTGGTAAACGCTTGTGCTGAAACTACTACTGATGGGAATGTGGCTGGGAGTGTTGCTGGCTTGTCTTCGCTGGTTCCTCAGCTTCTCTTCCCTTCTCCACTTGGCCCTTCTGTTAGAAAACCACACCTGAAAATACAGTGTTTGAGAGACGTGAATGGGCTTAGAGGGACCTCCCCCACGTAACTGAGGGCCACGCTGATAGAAAGCTGGCTTGCAGCGTGGCAAAGCAGTGTGTGAAAGCAAACCCCAGCTGCTGTTATTTTCCTGAAGGAGGAGAAGGACAAACATGCGATCGTAAATGGGGACTGCACTGTGCTTTGAGAAGCCAGGAATAACAAAATTAGAATAGTAATAGTAAAAGATAATAATAGTTGTAATTGCACAGCAGCTCAGTACCTGTATCCTTGCTTCAGGCAGGTCTATTTTAGCAGCTAGTCTCTCTCTTGCAAACACATCGGGGTAGTGGGTCCTCTCAAATTCTGCAGAAGGAAATATTGCCACGTTAGTTGCAAAGAGTTAATGTGGCCGACTGTAGTCCGAGTCGTTCCTGCACTGCCTTATGCTCTAAATGCTCTCAAGAAACATGGCTGTAAAGGCAAAGCTGAGCTTTCTCTGTGTGTGTGCGCGTTAGGAAGGAGGATGCCTTGCCTGCTGGGGAGTATTGCTCAAGGGGTAGGCAGGCTTGGGCGCAACGCTGCATCTTTCAAGAAGCAGTGAGGGCTTCTGCCTCCGCTGAGGGGGTCCCCAAGGCAGCTCTGACCCTGTCACCAAGAAGTGAAATGGCACATCGCTAAATAACAGCGGAAAATAAGAACAAAGATCCGCAGTGGGTCGGAGGCGAGGTGCGCCCAGGCCAGTCAGGGAAAAGGGCACCTGCTCCCAGCCCCGGGCAGTGGCAGCAGCGCTGGGGACTGGGAGCGAGCGTGGGGGCAGGCACAGAGGGCTGCTGCCAGCCCCAGCTGCCTGCCCTTGCCTTCCCGGCGTACGGCAACACAGCTCGGCCGGGGACGCGGCACAGTCAGCAGGAGATTTATCCCCCGTGAGAGGAGCCCAGGGTGTAACGCCGATGGTTTGGTACAATCTCTGCCCTGAGTACGTTCCCTTTGAAAACCTTTTCACAGCTTTTTGGTGAATACCACAGCCATCGATGAATATTTGGAGCTCAATGAATAAAAGGGCATGGACTTAAAATATATACACATATATAAGGCACGTGAAGGCCATGTTTCAGTTCAGCTCTTAATACAGCCAGGGCACATTTTGCTTTGCTCTCCTGCTTCAGCCGTAGGAATATGTCACTCACCTTTCTCAAGGGCTTCGATTTGCTCTTGGGTAAAGGATGTCCTATTTCTCTGCAGCTTTCTTTTCAGCTGGAGTCTCATTTGGGCCTCGTCTGAATCTTCTCCGTTAGAGCTGATGGAGTTAGTGTTTTCCCCTCCTCCCTCCTGTTGCGGACAGCCATCTGCGGAACCGAGAGTCAGAAAGTGAAATGCAGGTACCCTTGTTTTGTGATCTCTATCAGAGAAATAACGCGATTGGAAACAAGTTCGGCCATGTTTGCAGACACCCTCCCTTAAAAACGTCTCAGGTATCAAAGCTACATTGCGCGAATGACGGGTAACACGGAAACATTTCAGTTTCCAGCGTTATCGTAAACATCAGAGATGAGGAATTACGATCACCTAGTCTTAATTTCATTTTGTTTTTCCTCTGGAATAAAACCCACATAAAAATACTTTCCCCTGAAAGTGATTGTTTCCATGAATCGCTGCTGAAGTACCATGGCAGTCTCCTCTGTCTGCTGCATTTATTTACCTATTGCTATATTTAAAATAGTGATGTTCAGTATTTCAGATTATCTATAATCAGTAATTCCTGTCTAATCAATTAGATGTTGATAGGTTTGCAGAAAATGCTATTAAGAAACCAAACCAAGCTTGTAATCTTTTTTAAAAAATATTTATCCAGTTTTTATTTGAATTCTGCACAGTCAATTTCATTTTAAAGGTTGTGAATTTAGAAGTGCCTGCATTGTTCTGCAGTTTTATTCAACTATTGTATGAGTGTGCATTGCCTTGACACCTATTACTGAGCACAGCTGTAATTATATCATCACCAAGAACAGGCTATAATTGCTGAAAATGGAATTTTATATTTAGATAAAAGGACTGTCCATTCTTTGTAATGTGTTGCACCAGAGAAAAGTAAGATTTCTTTTAAAATTTTAACATGTAATTTTAAAAGAAATAGTAGCGAGTTCACTAACTAGCTAAATACGCTATTCTGCAGCTGAGCGTTTGGCATATCATTTAAGCGGTACATTTTTAATTAGGGCATTTCCACCACTTTTAATGTAATTTCTGTCATTAAACAGGGTAAAGTTTCATTGTGCTCTCCTTTCGGGCGGTTGCAAGGATGCGTCCCGGGTCCGGCCGGCTTTGCGGGGCTCCGCGGGCACCCCAGGCCGCCACGGGTGAAACGAAACGGGCGCTTCGGCCGAGGCAGAGAAGTCGTTGTCCCTACATTAGCTCTCCTTCTCCTTTCAAAGCATATTTTTCGAGGCGTTTTGATGTCGCATAAAGGGGGAGACGGGATGAGGGACGCATGGGCTACTTATGCTAATTCCCTTGAAAAGTTACGCCAAAAATAAATAGCGACACTCCCGCTACATCCTTTAAATATTGTGGGAAATCAACTTTAAAGTAATATCATTTATAATCGGCGAACAATGGCCTCGGCCTTCAAAGCTCGGGGGGAATTGTGACAGGATCTAGTGGGACCCTTTCAACCACTTTGAAATGTTTTAAAACCCGAACTTTCTCCCCCATTTAAACACAGGGATTC